CGTTCGTAGAACGAGCTGACAACCAAGGATGCAAAGCACGGTGCAGGTATGAAATCCACAAGCCAGACATTATAAACACATGACGGACTAGAAGACAGACTACCAGGAATTGGATGAATTCAAGGCCTAACATGGCGAAACTAATAGAAACTATTGCCCATGTCTTGCAGCCACATGATACGGTTGTGGTCCTTTTGGATCGATAGTTTCGGCCAGACATGACCTGTTTGGGGCTGGTTGATGCCGGGGGTCAACTGATCAGAACCGTCCGGCAGTTAGAGGGAGTGTTTGGGAGGGCCAGGCCGCCAGGCCTTTCATTCCGAATTGCTTCAACATGTAACATGACATATCCCCGGACCATACAAGCACAAAAACAGACTCAACGTACCGATAGGTACGGCATGGAATGGCCCCTTGAGACACCGAGGAATGGCCGCTATCCGACCTTCTGGGTGGACAAGTTCTGCATCGACCAACGAGAGTTGGCGGATGGCTTGAGGGTCTTGCCGGTGAATGTGCCGTGGATTGCCTGGAGCATGGAGAGAGGGCGAGGGTGGGAGGAGGCGCGCGTTGCATGGGGGGTGGAAGAACAGTTGCCAACACAGCCACTGGAAAGGATGTTCACGCCGTCACTGCCATCTTAGAAGTAGTACGTAGCTTAGTTACTACCTATATATGAAGGCATAGGAAATGTTCATCCATAACTATTCTTGTTTATCCACGACTACGTTTGTACAACCCCCAGCCCGTTACTATAATTCAATAGTCTTATGAGCTCACTATAGCTCACTATAGTCACTATAGATCAGATTTGACACTCGCAGACTTTCTTCAGAACCTCACATGTCGTTCACTGTTCTGAAGAGCAGGAAAGAACCTGTGCAACACCATTGCCCTTGCTTACACTCCAACTCACTAGCATGAAAGTGGAACTATTTTTGGTGTTGTGGAAGGACCATCATCCCTCCTCACAACACCAAGTTCTAGCTAGGTGCATTGAAGACGTTGCCATATACAGTCACTACATGTTTATCATCCCAGTTCTCAACACCCGACCCCTCCTTTGAAGGTGGTCAGAGGCTGTTCCTGGTGGCGAGCCGTCGATTTCTTTTAAATTCTTCGAGGTGGCTAGATAAGCACCACGCAGATGCAGAGATCTTGCACAGCATGGCGAAACAACAGTAATAGAACCGTGGATCCTCGTAAATTGCGGCAAGCTTCTGAAAGAAGAGTGAATCCCTTGACATTAGTGATATGGCCACAGGCACCTTCAATACTTACCTTTGCTACACTTCTGGAGGGAGCAAATCCCAATCGTTTTGCGCTTTGTCCTAATACCTGAGGTGATGTCCTGCAGAAGTGTCCTTTGCTTGTGTGGAAAGACCTTTCCAACTCGCCTCTGGTGTGCTTGGGAGTTATGTGCCGCCTGGCAGATGACAGAGACTGGAATCTGTTTGAATCTCAGTTCGTTCAGTCTAGGGGGCCCGGTCGGACCGGAAAGTGTATTTTTTGTTGTCCAGAAATATGCATCCGAGTTGGATGACCTTGAAGCCACGTGGCTTGCCACGTTGCACCATTCTAGTTCCTTCCATTCACGGGGCTGGAACTCCAAAATTGATCAGTCCATGAATCCCCGTGACCACCTCACCGGCGTCACCTTTTCGGCGAGGTCCTGCTGTCCTTTAGCTCGATCGAGCAAGCCCTACAGCAGCTGGTGGTGGTGACGTTGAGTAAGCAGGCCTTGAGTGAACTGGCGAACTTTGAGCCTCGGAAGGGCGAAGAGTCGTGGGGGGAGGGCGGGGGGAGCCGAGCCAAGAGAGGGCGAAGAAAGGGGATGAAGGGTAGCCCAGGGTAGCTAGGAGCAGAAGGTACAAGGGAGGAGAATATATGAAGACTTTGGGGATTGAACAGGTGGACCAGAAGAAGAGGTAGGATGTTGTGGGACCAGGAACTGGACCCGTTTCCAGAAGTTGCCGCGTCCCATCATTGAAATCTATGTCCCGCACACTCCATGGGACTGCGCCCCACAACACGCGGCCAAAACGGCAAAAAAGGACCGCGCCCAACCGATTTCAACGGAACATGACGATCCGCCCCTCGGACCTGCCCAAACGTGCGACGAGTGACTTTTGGGCGCCACGTTCGGTGGGAAACCTTCCCATCGGCTTCTGAAGAACGTCTGAGGACCTCTCCAAGAGCGGCTGCTTCGACCCCAACGAGGAGTTCCGCCTGCGCCGCGTCATCGATGCCATCGGCGGGCAACGCTTCGACGCCTGGGAGCACGACGCGAACGCGTGGGCGCGGGCGGCGAAGCGAGGCGGGGGGGGGGGG